CTGGAGTTTTTTTTCCCTCCTTTGTTGGTAGTTTGCTTGTGTGGAGTTACCATTCAGAGTTACAATGGCACTGAAAAAGGTGACTTATGACCATTTTTCACACTTATGACTGTTGCAGCATCCCCACAGTCATGAGAGGTCAGGTGAGGAGATGCGTGCCTCAATGTGAGTGATACTGAGTTGGCCACGCCCAGCCAATAACATGACCACCAAGCCACATCCACCCAGTCACATGACTACCAAGCCATGCCCACCAACTAAGCCATGCCCACATAAAAAATTTGAATCCCACCCCTGATTGCACTGTACAACATATTGAATCATATTTAGTGCATGGTCAGAACATGACAGAAGAGAAGTAAACATATACATACAATATTCAACCCCATAAAACTGTTAATGGAGAAAGGCATGTGGTGCAAATGCTTTGCTTTTGTAATTTGTCCTATTTATAACAGTACGTATGTTAGAATGACACTGCAGACTTTTTCTGCTAAGGTACAAACCTTATGTACCTGCCATCATAATTGTTTCTCTATAGAAATATTAATTTAGTTTAGTTTAGTTTAGTTTACTTTATTGTCATTGCACCTTGTACAATGAAATCAAACACCATCTTCAGTGCACATCATGATCATGACCATGAAAATAAACACAAACACACATCCTTCACCCTCCACACATTGAACCGAACCCTCCACCCGACACCAGATCAACACTGCACTATATAGCAGAATTCAAAAGAGCTACTACCCTGGAAACTGTTTTTCAGCCTATTTGTTCTTGTTTTTATTATTCTGTACTGTCTGCCACATGGTAATAGTTCAAAAAAAGGGTTCCCAGGATGAGGTGGATCTTTGAGAATGTTTTGAACTTTCTTAAGGCAGCAGAGCTATAAAAGCTCTTCCAAAGAGAGGAGAGGACAACCAATGATCTTCTGGGCAATGACGTTAACCCTCTGGAGTGCTTTCCTATCTGTCATTGTGCAAATGGCAAACCATACAGAGGTGCAGTATGTTAAAATGCTCTCTATGGTGCAGCGGTAGAAGGTCACCAGAAGTTTTTCATTCAGTTGTTGTTTTCTGAGAAGTCTCAGGTAGTATAATCTCTGCTGGGCCCTTTTGACCAGTGCTGCAATGTGGGCACCCCAGATCAGATCCTCTTTTAGAGTAACAGCCAGAAACTTAAAACTGGCTACTTGATCCACTCAGTCTCCATTGATAAGCAAGGGCTGGATGTCTGATTTGTTCCTTCTATAATCCACTATAAGCTCCTTGGTCTTATTGGTGTTGAGGACCAAGTTATTGTCTCCACACCACAAAAGCAAACCGGTCCACCTCATCTTAGTAGGCAGACTCATCCGCCCCGCCGGAGATAAGTCCCACCACTTTTCATGCAGAGAAGAAGCATTAATATTGTCATATGCTAAACTGTTATTTGTTGACATATCAAATCCAAGATTCAATGCCACTCCATCTGGAAATTTATACTTTGCATGCTCATTAAGATGATAATATGTTTTATACCAAACAACTTTCCTAAATCTGTTGAGAAACAAGTCCAGCAAGTCACTTGGCATGACACGAGAAAAGTGAAGTTCTCTCACTATCTTCCATTGCCACCATCAAGAGAACCAATTATCTATTAAAATTATTCCTTTTTAAAAAATATTGCCTTCATTTTGGGTTGTTCCTGTGAACTTATTCCTCAAAAAGGAAAAACAATTTAGAATTTATTAGAACTATAGGCAAAATGGTATCAAGTCTTTACAAATAGAAACAATAAACATTAAAGGATCCACTCAATTAAATAAATGAAGCAACTGCAATGTAATTAAAAGGATTACTCAAATTACAAAGCAATTGACTTAAAATATAAAAATGATAAACCAGAATCAATTGACACATAATCAATGACTCCCTTCTCCCCAAATTAGTTCAAACTGTGGAACAGTATAGTACATTCCAATTTTTGTTTAAAAGTAAATATGGTCCATAGAAGGATTTTAAAAAGTCAAGGGGGTGACCACTCTATGGTTCCAATTATATGGTTTGGATGCCCTGCTGAATTAAAAAAACTTTCCCCGTTGCCCCAAAATATTGTATCTACCACTTTAATGAGAAACATTTTTTTCTGATGATATAATTTATAGTAAAGCAATGTGGAACATAAATAATAGTGTAGTAATTCTACAGCATTAAATGCATTTAAATAATAGCAATCTCAGTATTATGTATTCATTTTATGACTTCCAATATGTTCAACTAAGTTCTGAATTCTTCCAGAAACAAATGGGATACTACAATAAAAAAGTCATGATTTCAATTGATCATTGTAAATGCAAAGAACTATAGGTGCACTACCTCTGCTTTTTTTATTTTAAAATAGTATCCCAAAGTAAACAGGACATTCTGATTTATTTTGCATCAACTATTTCTATAAGAGCTGAAGAGAGAAAAACTCAGTTAAAACTATCTTTGGTTGAGAATGTAGCTCCGTGCAATGCCTTAGTCCAAAGTTAGTCTAGTTCAGCTTCATTCAGCCAGATGTTATTGTCCATTTATTTGATTCCTTATTCACAGCATGAACTTTCTTCAGGTTTCATTCAACACAGACTTCAGCCAATCCTCTGTGCTTCATTTAAGTATCAAGAAGCAACTAAATTTAACATATATATGATGCGATAAGGGCAGTCCTGTGGTCCAAACTTTGCACCCTACCTCCAGCCCTCTTTAATAGCTTGCTTGATCCTGTGAAAGCAAATGAAACACTTAGGTGGGTTACAGCAAAATTGTGTTGCTGAGGCTGGATCTTTTTATTTATCTTTTGAATGTTTACATAGTTTAAACTATATAAGAGACAAAAAAAGCTTTATATTAAAGTGGATGTACAGTTAAGATAAGTGAGCTAAAATTACATCATTGTGGGACTTGCATTGTTGAATTTGTACAACGGGCAGAATAAATAAAGCTGGCAACAGCTGATTTACAGTCCAAATGTTATCCTCCCAACCAAAGTAACAAATATTTTATATTTGAGAAGAGACCGAGTAATAATTCACAAACTCTATGGAATTTATAGAAGGTTATTAGTTTTAAATTATATGGAAGTTACTTGTGACATATACTTTTGAATAAAGGAGGAGTTCCAGTGATATCATTTTAGAGCTAACTATGGAGCTTTTATGTAGAAAGTTTAAAACCTTGAAATCCTTTACCAACCTTTTATATCCAGGTGCCTTCCAGATGTGTTGGAGAACAATCAGAGATATATAGTTCTTTCTATATTCAGTCTGCAGTAATATTGTATTTTTATTTCCTTTACATATTTTGTGTGAATCATGTATTATTCTTTGCCTTGATGTATTCATTTTTTGAAATATATTTTAAATGAAATTTGAGCTGAGAAATATTTAAGTCCTTGTGGATTTTGTGAATGACATATTGTATTTTGCCAGAGTTCTTATTACTTGAAAAGAAATTTGTCAGATAAACCTGACATTTCTAGCTACAACCCTCCCACCCCAGCATTCCTACAGTTAATGACTATGTTAACTGAGAATTATGGAAGGCCAACTCTACTGAAGCACATAGTCTTCCCTCTATTTGTACATATTTAAGATAGTTTTTTTTTAAATTTTAGCAATTACATGATAGACTAAAAGTTAAGAAATGAACATGAGAAATGGATCCTTATTCCAATCTCTAGCATATCATTTTGATTATAAGGTTAAAAAGGGGGTATAGGTGAAGTTTCTAGTTTTATTTAACATTGCAGTATACAATCTGCTTTTTTTGTTCACAGTTGAATATACTTCTAAAATATTACACATGGCTAAGAAAAGGCTATGTGTGATTAAACGTTGGACAAATGTGAATTGGAAGACAACTTTTAAAAATCTTGCATCATTATTCAATAACTTTCCAGAATATTTTTAATGCTAGCAACATATGAAACTAATACAATCAAAGGATTGCTTTACAGATTTATTACTTATAATTTCTTGAATTTTGCTTTTATGAGCAACCAAACAGAAATTCAAATAAATATTCTGCCCAGCTGAATATAGGGAAACTAGGGAACTGATATAGGAACATGTCTGGCACACAAGCATTAAGCAGCCTGATTGCTCTTTATGATCTACCCATGTTGCAGAATATAAAATCTAGATTTGATGGATTGTAATGGGGACTTGATATAGTTCTTTCATTATGAATAAAGCATATTGAATGTGGATCACTATACTGCATATATTGTCTAGTTCATGGGATGCCAACAACAGTATAATGACTTGAAAGATATAAAATAGCTTGAGAATGCTTGGAGTAAATCTGGACTTTAGTTGGGCTTCTGTCATACTGACTGAAATGTGCCACCATATTCCTCACCATTAGTGGGGACTACTGCATGTGACATAAGTGTTGCTGAACTGTTTTCTATATACATTATCAGCCCATTCTTTCTTGATCTACTGAGTTGTTTGTATAGCTATTGTTCGGAGAGATTTGAAAAAGATCCATTTATCTCCCTGAAATATGTGCAAAATGTAAGAGTACCATGCCCCAAAGTAATAATTATGTGTTTAAGCCAGCATTAGTTTACTGAGTGTAAATTTCATTCTAATGATGATCAGCTAGCAGGTGATAAAGAAGAAAAGATTATATTTATTGGAATTAAATTAATTAAATTGGTTTAATTAAATTAATTAATCTGCTTAAATAAGTTTTTTTCTAAGGGCTCTAGTGAACTCCCCATTGTTAATGGATTCCTCACTTAGCACATCTAACTTCATGCCTGAATATCAATTGGAACTTGGTTCCTGTGTCAAATCTCAGTATTCTATGAATCATCTCATATTTATTTACTGTATTTCTTTCAAACTGCATTGCAATATTGATGAGTAATAGGATTTCTCCCCATTATATGTTCCAGTTATGATGTTAAATTTATGAATTAAAATTCGGGTTTAACTAATAATTCTGTTGTTCTTTTTTAAACAGGACTCCCTGAATGTTATTGAACCTGGTTTAATGGAGCTAAATAGCACAAGTGAAGATGCTCTAGAATGGGATGAAATGGATATAAGTAATAAGTTAATTAGTATTAATGAAGAATTTACTGAACCTGAACCAAAACAAGATGACACAAAGCTGAATCCTCCACCTGAAATATCTGATAATGGTAATCCAAAACAAGAAGGAGCCCCTAACATTCATGAAGACAATCTCTGTGATCCAAGAGTGTCAGGCCCAAAGGTCTATCAAGTATATAGTCTCCACAATGTTGAATTATCCAGAAAAAATAATATATCTCTCATGAAAAACACATCAAAAGATTCCAGTCTTACACCTTCAACTACTGCAAACAAAGACACAAGTAAAGATTCTTCCTTATCATCTATAAAATATTTGCCAGATTTACTGTGTAGCACCACATTGGCAAAACCACAGAATTATATGTATCATGGTGGAAACATTACCAGGCACTCTGAAAATCAGAATAAAGTAATCAGTGAAAGAAAGCCAAAAGCTGTCAGTAACTCTGAAATCCAATTGTTTTCTGATACTGATGGAATACAAGATAATTCTATGCCTAATATTTCAGATTCTGACCTAGGGAATATAGTTGATGTGATAAAACAAAATTTTAAGCAGAAAGATGAAGAAAGCCTTGTTAATGTCACTACATCTGAACCAAAGTTTAGTAACAAAACAAAAGATGTAGACAATGGTGCCCGTCATGATTCTGTGAGTGCAGAAGAATTACAAGGAAAACACAGTGCTTTTACATTTTATGACTATTCATATCTTCAAGGTTCGAAATTAAAGCTACCACGGATAATAAAGCAACCACCATCAGAAAAAGCACATAAGCAGAGCAACTTGCTTCACGGCTTTTATTTTGATAAAGTTCCCTTTATATCTGAAAATCAGCCCGGGGACTTAAAATCATGTACGGAAAAGCTCGCTTTACCAATCGACTGGAATGATGCTGATCCTAAACACACGGAGTTTGTGGAAGATTTAAAGAAACTATGTGACACAACAAATGGGAAAGTGCTTTCAACTCTATCTCATAGCTCTTCTTTGGATTCCCTTTCTTTGACAAGTGATTTGTTTGGTTTAACTGTTTTTAGAAGTGGAGACAGTCTTAATCGTAGCACTTCCTTAGAGAGCTGGCTAAATCCCTACAAAAGCAATGAAGATCTTTTTAGTGGTAATGGCTCCGGTGACCTAAGTGGAAGTAGTGATTCTGTTGGAGAACTCAGTAAAAGGACGTTAGATCTTTTGAATCGCTTAGAAAATATCCAAAGTCCTTTAGATCAAAAAATAAAGCGTAGCATCTCTGATATCACCCTCCAAAGCACTTCTCAAAGAATGTCCTTGACTGGACAAGTATCCCTGGATATTGCCTCCTCAATCAATGAAGATTCACCTGCTTCTCTCACTGAGTTAAGCAGCAGTGATGACCTGTCTCTCTGCTCTGAAGATATTATAATGCACAGAAACAAAGTACTAGATTCAAATGCATCATTCAGAAAGCACCTCAATCGTTCTGTTGCTGATGAGAGTGATATCAACGTTAGCATGATTGTTAATGTTTCCTGTACCTCCACTTGCACTGATGATGAAGATGATAGTGATTTGTTATCAAGTTCTACTCTCACCTTGACTGAGGAAGAGCTGGGCATGAAAGATGAAGATGATGATTCCAGTATTGCAACTGATGAGGATATTTATGAAGATTCCAATTTAATGTCAGGACTTGACTACATTAAGAAGGAACTCCACACTTGGATTAGACCTAAATTATATCTGACAAAGGAAAAGAGGAGACAGCATGTGGATTCTGAAATTCAGGGCTGTAAGGAGTTAAGAGGTGGTGAGACTTTGAAACCAAAAGATTCATTGAACATTGAACAATTTTTGAGTGATTCCATATGTAAACTTTCACAAAATAATGGCCACAGGAAGAATGTATTGGAGAATCATATGTCAGAGACAAAAAGACAAGCAAAAAATGAAGGTTTTCAGCCTTTGCAAGGTTGCTTAGTAGATGATATGGAGAATGGAAATGTTGCAGTTACTCAAGAAAGTCTAAATGGGCAACATATTTCAACATCTGCCATAACTGTTAGTACATTAGATAGGAAAGAGAATGAAAATGAAGATTGTGTCTGTGAATCATTTACTGATAGTTCAAAAGATTCTCATATTAACAGTAAAGAAGATGTTCAACTACCAAATATAACCAGCCCTCAAAAAGAGTATCAAAATCATATTCAGTATGATGACCAGTGTATTAAAAATCTTATCACAGAATTTGACTCAAATGTCAAAGAAGACAGTACACCAGGTACAGCATCACTAATATTGCCTCCAAGTTATCAACAAAGTAAATCAGGAATTAGTGAGACTGTTAGTGATTGCTGTGCATGTTTAAAATCAAATGAAGCAGAAAAAAACACATCAGCTAGCAGTCATGATTCATGTTGCAACTGTGAATCAGTTGCTTTTGATAAAAGAAATGGGGAAGATTGCTCAGTGCATAATTTTGTGATGGAGATAATTGACATGGCTTCCACAGCCTTGAAGAACAAATCACAGCCTGAAAGTGAGCCAGCTGTTCCACATTCATTAGCCCAGATCAAAGAAAAGGTTCTAGAACATTCTCACAGGCCAATCCAACTTAGAAAGGGGGATTTTTATTCTTATCTTTCACTCTCTTCTCATGATAGTGACTGTGGGGAAGTGACTAAATATGTTGAAGAAAAAAGCAGTACTCCGGTTCCGCTGGATTTTGCAGAAAACATTGAATGCTTTTTTGAAGCCTGTCCTGAGGAAGAACGAGTTGAACAGCAGATGTATATTCTTCCTAATGAAGCTGAGGCAACTTTGGTCAAGCACAAGGACTTGAATTTAATAGATGAACACCAAACATCCACCAATTGTAACAGCTTTTCTTTTTTATCTAAGGAGATAGGTACAAATCCTCCAGGCACTTTTAGCAAAACAGGATCAGAGAATATAAAAAATAATCCTGATGAATCTTTTGATCAAGAGACCACTAACAAAGGTCCAGTTTTGAATTCTTTTCCACATGACTCTATAGAAAACCATCCAGGTCAGTCCTTTGGCACTGCAAAATCTGAAGAAGATTTTGCCACCCCTTTGAAGGCCTTAATTAAAGCCACCCAGTTAAAACCTGATCACTTGAAAGTCAAAGAAGTTAAGCACCCAAACCCAAAAACTCTTGTATGTGAAGAAAAACTCCTGCCTCTTTACAGAGAAAGGCACATAAATACAAAGAGATAGAATGCAACTGTCCCTGGACACATCCGTGTTATTTCATGAGCAGGTATGTACTGAAATATTGACGACTGAATATTATTAGTGACATGACCATATAATTAAACAAATTGTAGTATTGCTGGTGACTGTTTAAGTAGATAATAACCATGTGCCTTTTGAATTTATTTTCACAATAACAAAGTGATATTTAAGCTTACATTTTACAGATAGTCAGGTTGCACCCATTCTTTCAATGACCATCCAAACTTACAAAGAGGCTGAAAAAATGGACTCCTCAAAATTGCAGCCATTGCAATTTCCCCGTGGTCACATGATCAAAATTTGAATGCTTGGCAACTGGCCCACTTTTTGTTGTAGCATCCTGCAGTCACACTGCACAAACTGCCTCCATTTCAACTCCCTCCTTCTTTGCCTTTTGGCCACCCTGCAGAGCACAGCCATGATCATTGGTCTCCAGGGTTGCCTCCAGCTGATATTTTTCATCACCCTTGCCTCACCTCTGCTGGACTCACTTCTGCCACTACCCCCATAGCCACTAGTATTTTTTTTCAATTGACTGTACCCCTCCTTCCTTTTGTGATTAAAAAAATTGATTTGGGGGGGGAGGAGAAAGCTGAAGTAGATGCAATTTGCACAGGGCAGAAGAAGAGTGGGTCATTCCTCACTGAATGACCACACTGAATGTCTGCAACCTGGACTGCTTATAGCAATAGCACTTAGACTTATATACTGCTTCACAGTGCTTCACAGCTCTCTCTAAGCAGTTTACAGAGTAAACCCAATAATTCGGGTCCTCATTTTACCCACTTTGGAAGGGTGGAAGTCTGAGACAACTTAGAGCCTGGTGAGATTTGAACTGCCAAATTGCAGGCAACCGGCAGGCAGCAGAAGTAGCCTGCAGTACTGCACTTTAACCACTGCACCACCGTGGCTCATAGCTCCCCTTCCAATTCTAATTAGTTCATTTAGAGAACATTTGTGCTTGGTTAACCTTAAATAAAATTCAGAATCAAGGCTATATTACATGCACTGGAGGAGGAAAAAAAGATATTGAACCATTATTTATATATGTCACTCGCTATTTCCTATTAAGTGTAGCAGTGCTGAGCTTACCTTATTTAAAGTATTTTAAATCCTAACCTGTGATACCCCATCTCATATGCTAAAATTTCAATCCTAATTAGGGCCTAAAGCAATATACATAACATGAAATCAACATTAAAATTAATATTATTTGCCCTTGTCCATGTATGGATTATAAGCATCAATTCTATAATCTTGACAGCATTGCTTTGAATCTCACATTTGTTTTCTGATAAAATTAAGTATGCATGTGTGTCTTTTTAAATTTAAATTTGAGCTGAATGGTGACAAATAATTGAAGAAAACTGGTATTACCAGTATAGCCTACATTTCTGCACTGTCTTTTGGCTTATTGCACTGTCTAGTCCTGTGATGGAGAACCTATGGCACTCAGAGCCATTTATGCTGGCACGTGAGCTGCAGGCAAACTTACCTCACTGGGTATGCACGCACCTCACCGCTGATTTTTGGTTGATTTGAGGCTTTTTTCAGCTTCCCAAAGGCTTGAGGAAGGCTTCTGCAGGCTTCTGCAAGATTTGCAGGCCGAAAACTAGCCCCTGTTTTGTCACTTCCTGTTATGCGCACCTGCGTAGGGGGCATGGGGGGGGTGCACATTGCCTTCTGGGTGCTGGCACGTGAGTGCGTGCATGCAAGAGCGCGTATAATTTTTGGTACAGGAGCTCAAAAAGGTTAGCCACCACTGGTCTAGTCAAAGTCAACTTTAACAACTTATTGGCTCTATGCAAATTCTCAATGGGCACTTCCCCCCACCTCCTGTGTAATCAAAATGCTCCTTTCCCCCCTTCAAGAAAACCAGAAAACTGAATGTGAACTCTTGGAATTAAGAAACATGGCAGTTATTACTGAAACTAGTTCACCTTTACAAACCAATATGAATAGTTTGTTGGAATGTGTATTAGCAAAGGAGGAAATTGATGCAGCTGTTATTTTCAGGACAATATATTGGAAATTGCATATTTTCTACAGTTACAATGATGTGTTCTAATTCAGAAATGAGCAATCTACCTCCTCCAGCCTCCATTTCAAAAGCTTTATGAAGATTTCACGTAGGTTTCTGGCAAGAATAATCTGGCTTCTTCAAATAAGGCTTGTTTTGAGAGTAAGAAAAAAGAAAGAGGAAGCAGAAAATGAAAAGCGAGTGAAAAAGAAAGTGCCACGAACAGGCAGAAAGCAAGCAAACCCTGCACACTTCTCTGCATACTTAGTTTGCCCCCACTCCCGTATAGCAAGTTAGCCCAAGAGAGTGCAACTCTTGACAGATGTTCCACCCTTGCCATTGCTCAATATTCACCTTTTGGTGATTGTGTACCAACTTTCTCTGTCCACGCAAGCCTCCCTTTCATTAAAGGTAAAAACGTAGTGCATACAAAGCTATATACACACTGAGGTGCCTTCTAAATATCAATTAATGAAGGTGTAATATAATTCAGCAAGGATATTGCTTTGGGGTATTTTCATAAAAAGTACCCTAATCATAAATCCACAGCTTCTCAAGCCAGCAAGTAGACCCCAGGATCTCTAAGCTACCCACCAGATTCTTCAAATCCCTCCTCCCTACCATGAGGGCTTAGTTGATACTTTAACTTCATTTCTTATGCCATGGGAAATGAATTAGAAGCAATCTATCCTAATTTGTTAACTTATTCAAATAACAGTTATTATACTTAACTATGCTAAAGATTATCTTTTTGGTGGCAGATTGTTTATTTTTTGATGAGCCTAATTACTGATTTTCCAAAGGTAATTTACATTTATTACTAATACATCTTTTAAAATGTGACAGATAAATGTTGTTCCCATAAGTGTATTATGAAAAAAGTTACTATTTAAAAACACATTATTTAATTTGAAAGATAAATGGCAAACACCATTATTTTTTTTTCTTGGAGCACCTGTGCTGTAAGCTCATTAAAATGTGTGATTTTATGTGAAGCTCAGATACTTAAGAGAAAAATTATCTATGGTATATGTATACCCTAAAAATAAACCCAGTACGCAAAGGTGACAGTATGCATATTTACCAACGTAGCTCAACTAATTTAATGTGATTTCCACTCCAGCTGCAAGCCAGAATAAAGCTGTTGTGAGCAAATATATTTTCCTGCTGAATACTGTATATCAAAGCTGTAATCTCACTCTTTTATGGGTATGGTATAAAATTGACCATTAAGAGACAGCAGCTTCAAAAAGTTCTATGTACTGTAAATGATAATTCTGCTGTTTTATCCAGATTACTGCTGACTTTATAACTGTACAGATATGTTTCCTCCAGAGGTTCAGAGCTTTTGTTTTCCATGGAGGCAAGATTTATCAAGAAAATTTATCATGGCACTTTCTTTTTCTATCAGTATGGTCCATAGCCTTTTACTCCTATACTTTTTTCTTTGAGCCACACATGAAGTTATACCAGATCCAATTATTTTTTATGCAGTCCAGTATTTTCTGTTCTGATTTGTAAAGATTGTCTAATGTGCCAGACAGAGGTTTTTCCCACCATCTGTCGTCTAATTCTTTCACAAGGTGATGCCAAGCCATTCAAATCAAATCATCTTTATTAGTGTAATTGATCGATCCAAACATAAGACTATAACAGGGCAAAAGAAACAACAAGAGGTTCCATTTATGCATGAAAATTTTGAACTTTTTCCAACTGGCGAGACATCTCATTCACCTAGTCAAGGTTAGGCAGCATAAAGGCTTCATGCTGGCCTACTTCAATGGTCTTATTATCATAAATCTTTTAAGATAAATTCCACATCTCCTTTGTCTCTCACGCAATTTTCTTGTGTTGCTCATTCTGCTATATTTGTGTTGTTCCCATCATCCTATTTTTTTTCAGTATGAGACCATGTAGATTTATTTCCTTTCTATTGACCCTGTTGCACTGCAGATACAAGAGTTATGCTTAGCATGACCAAACTTTGTGCTCTAGTTTATAAAGTCAACAAAATAATATTTTCTGGGATTGGTTAGTGATGAGTATTTAAGATCCCAAGCTTTAAGTAGATCTTGCCAGCCTACCAGGGTTGCTACTAATGATTATGATTATGATGGTGATGGTGATGGTGATGGTGATGATGATGATGATGATTGCTTGCAGAGTCAACCTGATGCTTAAAGGTACATTTGGCATTTTTGTCCACCTATCAAATTCTTTCCAAGAATCTGGGCTAGGAAGTGTTTAATAATATTAAAGGTACTGTCACAACAAAAGCTGTTCCGAGTAAAGTTGCCTTTTGAGATTGACTGATGGTGATTTTGTCAATACTGACAGTGTTCAAGTGATACTTCAGATGTTTTGGGATTGCACCCAAGACATCTATTACTATTGGTACTATCTTTGCTTTCTTTTTCTATAGTCATTTCACTTTTATTTGCAGGTTTTTGTATGTTGTGATTTTCTCCAGTTCTTTCTCTTCTGTTCTACTGTCTTCAGGTACTGCAATGTTCACTATCTAGATTTTTTTTATTATCTTTCTTATTGACAAATGATAAGTCTGGGGTGTTATGTGACAGGTGCTTGTCTGTTTGAATTCTAAAGTCCCAAAACACTTTAGTTTCTTCTTTTTCAATTACTTTGTCTATTTTCTACCATTTCTTGCTTGCAAGCAAATGGCATTTCTTGTTACAATGCACCATAGTTGCTGTATTTATCATGCCAGGGTTTGTAGTCAGTCTGTGCAAACTTCTTGCAGCAACTAACTAGGTGATCCACTGATTCTTCACTTTTTTTTTTTGCAGAGGCAGCATTTGTTGTCTATTGCTGTTTTCTCAGTTCTGGTTTTAAATGCATTTGTTCTTAAGATGTGTTCTTATGTAGCTGGAATTAGTCTCTCTGTAGCTTTCTTCAACTTTCCTGTTCTTATCCATTGCAGTTATCTGTTGGCCTGGTTTTTTTAATGCATTGGTCATATAGTACTTTGCTTTGCTGTGTCTTTTTTCTATTCTTCATTTAGTCTTATAGGCCAGTTTGGTCTCTCTAGTATTTAGCAAGCTTTCAGTGCATCTTCTTCACTGTCCTTCAAATATTCTTAAAATGGTCTTTCTTCTTCTTCAACTGCCTGGGGTACTTTCAACATTTCATGCCCACCTATCTTCCTTCATAAGTATAGTTTGTCAACATCACAGTGAAGATGAAGGACATGATTCATTGTCTATGGAGATTCTCAATCATCCAGGTCGTGATTTGAAAAGCACCTTTCAGCATGATTCATTGTCATTATTTTTCTGGTCTTCCTATCCAGGACTTTTAGTTCCGTGGCTTGAGTCCAGTCCACTATACCAACTGTGTATCCAATGATTGGAATTGCCTCTTTGTTAATTGCTTAGATGGTGTTTGGGCTTGAAGATCTTCATTTTCATGATGTATTCACTTCTGACTTTCTTCTTAACTTCATTGTGCTTGATGTTGTCATGCTGATATTGTGTTTTGTCAGCCAGATAGTTAGACTGGATTTGACATTTTTATCCACCTATCTAGTTCTTCCCAAAGATGTGGGATATTATTATTCTTACTATTATCATTATATTATGTTCTTACTTTAAAAATAGTTCGATTTGATCCCAGAGAGGCTAATTACCTCATGTCTGCAAACTATTTGTACCATCATTGACTAGTGCTTAAAGCATCTCTATTCTACCATTGAGCTATGATATTAAGTTCACACAAACTGACAGGAAAGGTCTAGAAGTGGCCAGAACTGGAACAACCAACCAAAGACATCTTCCATTCTCCATAACCAAGGAGATTATTACCAATGGTGATATAGGTCCAAGAAATCATGAAGGAATGAAGATGTAGATTAACCTCCTGGTTTGTTTCATGATTTAATCAGTATTGAAGATATAGATTAACCTCCTGGTTTGCTTCATGATTTTATCAGTATTTTGTCAAAGTAGTAATTTTTTTCTTGAATTCTTATATAAAGAGTACCACAATAGTTTTATTTTCATTAAGTTGATAAATTTATTTTTTTAGCTATGTATAATTTTAGATATTTAAAAAGCTTACGTACAGTTCCAATAGTTTGTTTTTTAAAAATGTATTATTAAAAGCCAATTTAAGGTGTGGAGGCTAGATATAGGCCTGTATTTAAAATTTGTGGAGAGAAAGAGAGAGAAAGGGAGAGAAAGAGAGAGAGATCCACATTAATTAATATTAAACAAGAAGGTGACTGGATAACTGCAGATATTTTTACAATTTGGAAAGTATAATATTCAAGGCTAGAGTGCCTCCTTGGAAATACTGTGATAAGGTACTTTGTACTAATCCCTTAACTGTATTCTAATAGTCCCCCCCCCCATAATCTTCATCCTATGCTTTGGCTCTTTGTTGCACAGGTTAACCCAAAATTCCAAACTGAAAAGAAATTCCATCAGAAATACAGGTAGTATTTGACTCATGTCAATAATTGGAACTGGAATTTCCATCATAAGTCAGTGCGGTCATAAAGTGAGCCATCATGTGACCAGATGTAATTTACAAACATTTTTACTTAATAATTGTAATAATTTTACAATCATTAAGCAAATGAAGCTTCCCCAATTTACTTTTTTTGGAAACCAACTGCTAAAGCCACAAACCATGACCATGTGACCACAGGATGCTGCAAGCAGTTGTAAATTGTTGTTGTTGCCAAGTGCTCAAATTGGAAATTTTGTGATTATGGGGATGGGGCAACATTTGTAAGTGCAAGGGCTGGTCATAAGTCACTTTTTCTGAAGATATCATAATTTTGAACTATTGTTTAAACAGACATAAGTGGACAATTATCTATATTAATCATTCCTCCTGGTAAGAAATATTAGGGCAATATCAATTAATGGGTTGTTTGTCTTATTTTTTATTATTTTAGAGAGAATTCGATACAATATTTAGATTATAGCCATATTTATATAATCTCAAGCCTATATAGATCATTGGACAGTGAATCCTACTGATTTTAATAGGACTTATTTCCATGTAATAGGCTCAGGATTGCAGATTATTATTGGTTGGCTGGGTGCCCTTTATTGAGTCTTATGTGCCTATTGATTGATACAGTTTCAGAAGGTAGAGGAAGCATGTTCACAGATACCTAAAAGGATGGGATTGAGGGAAAAGGTCAAACTTGATTATTTCCCCTGTGCCTTTTGAAACTAAATCTTGTTTTATAAAAATCAATAAGGGTTTCCACTTCAATGAAAAGACATAACTCTGATTTAAACCATAAGCTACGAAAAATTGCTGTTCATAGCTGCTTTTGCATATACCTGTAAGGACACTGGTGTGAGATCATATAAACTGCTAATGTGGCTATTTTAGAAAAAAATTGTGTTTTACAAATGGAATTATATTTGATGTAGCATGCTCTTACTTTTCTTTCCTTTTCTTTCCCTTTTTCCTTTTAGAAACTTGGCTGCATTTCAGATGTAGGCTTATCCTCTAAACCCTGAGATGACCTCTAATTCCATTGTATCACTGCCTTTTGTTACACTTGACTCCCAAGATAAATTTTCTTTCCAAATGTTATTTGTACATGTTGGCTTTGTAACCAGGTTGCATATGCTGGAGCAATTTCAGTTATCATTTGGCTTTGTAGAAAAACGGTTTTCTTTCATATGGGTTTATATGTCAAGCTACCTCTTTAACAACTTTCTTTTCAAATGTGTATGCTTCTGTATGATATCTCATCCACTAATATTTTAATGATTTTGCAATTGCACAGTTTCTGTGATCATTTCAAGTCATCATTTCAGAACTGCACATGTTATCAATTATCCCGTTTTATGTATCAAATTTGGTATTTTATGTGTACAACCCATATTATTTATTGAAAGTATTTTAGAAAGGAAATTTTTGATTGTAGCAAAAAGGAAACAATTGCTCTTGAGTCAAAAAGAACCGGTTAGACAAAGTAAATACAAATGTATCCTTTTGCTTTTTCTAACAAACAAAACAAAACTATGCAACACTTCAAGAAACAGCTATGTAGTGTTGTATATTAAGAATTGTTAACATTGTACTAAATTAAATAAAACATTTTGGTTTTCTACTATGCTTCTTGAGGTGGTAATCAGAAAAGAACCCCACATTTTAAAAAAATGGTGCCTTGCTGTATTTCTTATAACATTTATTAAAAAGTTGCTTTCACAGTAAAATTACGTTCATTTGAAAGAAGGAAATAGCAAGGTGTGAATCGTTTCTGTATATATGTATAACCAAGTGCAAACATTGATGTACAATGACAGTATAAAATGCTTTAATGTTTGTGATGCCTGGTGGTGTAAGAAAACATAAGCCTTAAAGCCACCAGATTGCATGATAATTAGAACTGGCATAATAAACATAAGTTTACTGGGGAAATTTTAGAACTGGCTCTCCTTTACCCCCACCTGTCTAAATCCGAATGTTGCATGGATCTGCCATAAGTATTTGAATATTTATAAGGGCCTCTCAGGTTTGGTGTAGGCCTTTAGGAATAACTTTGTCTGTGACTCTTCTGTCCTGAAAGTTCAGCTACTTCTGGTAAAATTGGAAGAGGACTTTGAACTACAATCTGGAATAATCCTGGAATAATTCCCTTACTGTCTCCACCTGTTAAAATGCCCATTTGAAGACCACAGAAGAGGTCATCTTCATGAATCTTGTGTGTTAATAAGAACCAGGAGAAGTATGTGTTTTTTCTGAATACCCACTTTCCACCTGTGTTTCTTTTTTCCATAACAAACAGAATTATCTCCCTCCTTCTCTCCCCCCCCCCCACACAAATATCCATTATAAAATGGCTCACTCTGAGGTTTACTGTCCCTTCATGCATCACGACTAAGTTGGTCAAAAGGGTTTCTTAGTTTCCAAATTCCTGCTATACAGGCAGCCTTCTTTAGCAAGCCATTACAATGATGATGAAAAAGTAATCTTTGAAGGTCTGTAAAGCAAAGGAAAGCTAGATCATAGGATCAAAAGTAGAGTAGCAATTTCACTTAATGACTATTTCGCGAAACAACTGAATTGTTGGTTGCAATTGTGGTCGCTTCAATAGTTTACAACACTGAACAAAAGTATAAAGAAAAATACAGATCTCTGTACAATGTACAACTGCTAATTTCTACCTAAAATGTAGATTTATTACAAGATGACAATGTTGTGCCACATCTGAAATCTCACTGATATTTTTGATATTGAGAAAGAATGGCTTATTTTCTCCAATCTTCTTTTCTATTGTTGTATCTGGAACCTTCCTCCCTTCCCAAATGATATTGGTATTACCTGAATATTCGCTCTGTTCACTGTGGGTGAGGACAGGACAGAAAGTTGTTGATTTAGAAGAGTGGATCCCTTGTCATTTCTGGTGCTTGGATTCATAACAACTAAGGAGTATATAAGTTTAGTTACTGAATTTATCTGTTTTATATATATAATTTTAAAGTCCACAGAGAGTATATTCCTGAACAAATAAAAGATGCCAATCTTTCCTAGCTGTGGACTCCAAAATGATATGGACTACAGTTCTCATAATTCCCAGCCATTCTGGAAGTGGTAGGACTTAACTATCTGGGAAGATAAATGGTTAGGATCCTTTTTTCATACATGCATATTTTGAATATGTACATAAGAAAAAGTGATCAACATGTGATCATACTTCATAGAGATAATTTATAGGTTTCCAAAGTTCTTATTTTTCAGTTAATTGGTTGATGCAATACTTAGGTAAGATATAAACCACAAGTAAATATGGATGAAAATGGAAACATACATATTATAAAGTGGTTCTTATATACAGGGCCAAATGAATGTGGTATATTAAACCTGATGTTTCTGAATAAAAGGCTGAAAACTTTGTAATAATATTCAGATCTGATGAATCCCTCATCCAATTACAAGTTAAGATTGTAAATTCAGATAATGCATTGATTTTCCAGTTCAGTCCTGTTTTATTAGGCAGTCTTTGGGCCATTCATATTTATACTCTAATTGGAAAATGTCTGGCTATTTTATTTACTTTTCTTCCAACAATGTGCACATAAAATCTGAGAATTTTAAATGTATAAAAGAAACCAAATCAATTTTTTCCTGAAATAACTAAGTATTGCCAACCCAAATGTGATTTGTCTATGGAAGTGGAAACAATGTTTCAAACTTCCCAAAAAGTACGTACACACACACACACACACACACACAGAGAGAGAGAGAGAGATGATAGATAGATAGAGATAGATGATAGATAGATAGATAGATAGATAGATAGATAGATAGATGAGATAGATAGATAGATAGAGAGGGAGGAAGGTGGGGGGAGGAAAGGCAGATTTGGCATAGCTTATTCCATGATTAAATTCTACCCAGATGCCTTCAGGAAATTAATACTATGTACAAATAATTCTATTTTAAAGAACTCTCCATTTAAAGAATTATAGAACCATATTATTGGTTTGCTAAATCACTGCCGGGGGGGGGGGGGGGGGTGCGCAGGGGGAGGAAACAAAAGCAACTGCCTTACATCAAGTTAGAGCTGCTTTTTCTGACTGACAGGAGAACACCAAATACTCCAACAGCTGTCATTTCTATCACCTGCTGCCTGGTCAGATGCCAGAAATTTAACCCAAGATCTGTATATAAAAACGTACTTTGCTACTGAGCTGTTTTAGCAACAGAGCCAACAAAATGAAATGGCCAAGGTGGGTGATTCTAATGTTTAATAACAATAATCCAAAAACGAAGGCCCAGAGCAAAGAGGAAGAGAGTCATTTGTTAACAAGGTTCACAATTAATTTATCACGCATATCTCTGAGAGTTTAGCAGAAGGGTATTGAAAAAGTCAGAAATATGGGTAGAGTATTTGTACCTGTTTAAATCACTTGTTTACTTTCATGTTCGTCAATACTATTTCAGACTAAAGCTTACCTTAAAACAGCTTCATTAAGTCATTAAGATTTGTGGGAAATGTTATTTGTTTTCAATTTAAATTTAAAATTCATTTATATGATCAATTTGTCATTTTAAATATATGAATACAACACAAAGTGTTTGCCAGCCTATGAAGTAGACCAGCTATGAAACCATATAGGCTTAAAATGACATTTATTTGAATGGCTATCGTAACAGAATCTCTCAAGTCACAATTCTCTCCTCCTTCCATTCCTTTATCTCCCCATGAATTAGGAAGGGGCCTGTCTAAGATGTTCTGTCAAGTTAATTTTGGGGGATGGATTAGGGTCTGTCCTTCAAGGCCATTCCCTTTACCTCTACAATATAGCAATAGCACTTAGACAAGAGGTCTCCAAACTTGGCAACTTTAAGACTTGTGGACTTCAACTCCACAAAGCTGGCTGAGGAATTCTGGGAGTTGAAGTCCACAAGTCTTAAAGTTGCCAAGTTTGGGAACCCCTGAGTTAGACTTATATACTGTTTCACAGTGCTTTACATCCCTCTCTAAGTGGTTTACAGAGTCAGCATATTGGCCCCAACAATCTGGGTCCTCATTTTATCAAACTTGGAAGGATGGAAGGTTGAGTCAACCCTGAGCCAGTGAGATTCGAACTGCTGAACTGCTGGCAATCAGCAGTCAGCAGAATTAGCATGCAATATTGCATTCTAACCCACTGCATCACCACAGCTTCCTTCTACATATGCTTGAAGTAAGATATATACTATATATTTCTAACTATATTTCTTCACAGAATAAAAAAGTCACCATCAGACACCAATTACAAAATTATCCACTAAATCCTAATTGTTTAATCATCTAATCCTTGTTTTATTTTGATGAATACAAAATGAACTGTTCATTCTACCACAAAAGTAGGGGAATTGTATGGGGAGGGAGAGGCTTTGGGCATATTTGGGATAAAGTAGACATGTTACAAAATGGCTGCAATAGGATGGTTGCTAATTAACAAATTGGCTGCCATTATAAACAATGAGGAAGGAAGACAAACTTTAACAAAAAAGAGAAGGAGACAGACACTTCAGAAGTGCCCTTGAAAAAAAGAATACATTTTCCACTGAAAACTGGCAGGTGGGATTTCTCCTTCACAAAACACATAGTCCACTCAAATGTTGTCTATCATCCCAGGGGGGCATCTGTGGAATTCAAAGATTGCAAATAAGGCAGGGCAAGTATGTTCCCATTATTCACCCTACAATCAGTTACACTTATTTCATTGCAAATTGTAAAACGATGTCAGGTGAAAATATTTAAATCATCATCAAGATAATGTGAAAAAATGAGGGCAAGCTTTGGGATATTCATGGGTGTTCTCACAAACACCATAGCCACATTGTCCAGCATCTTTGTCAAGACATTAGGAATCCAGCTGCTAACTACAGCTAAGATGATGCTTAGTGTTACAACTTGGATTTGCTCATCATTTGGGGAAAGAAAGAATAAAAGGAAAGAAAGAAAATATCCTGTCACCCAATAAAATATCAGCAATTCTCTCAAACATCATCCAATTTCCTCCCACTTAAATGTCCAATATTCTGTTCCCTCTTTGAGCAGATAGATGGACTGGGGTGTGAACAGTGCTTAAGACTTATCAATTCTATACATCGTGTAAATGTTGGTTACTCCTTTTTAAGCTCCAGTTCTAAATTCTCCTGGCACAGTAATTATAATGAACATCCTAGGTGAATATGTGGCTTTTACCAAACATGAATCATTGTTAAATGCATGTATTACAAAGCATCGTGGATTTCATGGGCATTTACATTTTGACATAAAATTCTGGAATGTGAAAATGTCAGATTTTCTCATATGGCTGAGATATCTAATTAAGTTGGAAAATTGGCCATGCAAGATTAAGTCTCACTGAAGGCCATTTTTAATACATGGATGATTATTTTTCCAATGCTTTTAGCACAGTATCATCGCCTATTTGACCTGGGTCTCAATAGCTATATGGTAGAATCTGATTTGTTGTAGAACATCATTTAGAAATGGAGAAGTTGTGAATCCTTTAAAGATATATGTGGAATAAGATAATAGTGAAGAGAAGTTTATACTCGTATGACAGGCATGAAACAAGATTCAAATTAATGAATGATTACTTAAGACAGTGTCATTTACTTTTCTTTCTAAAAGCAAAACCCCAAAGGTTTTTCACTGAAATTTAATATTTGTGAATACCTGATATATCAATAGATTTCAGTCTTTACCATGACATATAATTAATCTGCTGATCTTCATTGCTACAAGGATTATAGAATCAAAAGTCACTGTAGGGCTAAAATGGTACTGTATCTCCTAGCTATAGAAAA